TTTAACTTTTGCAAATGCACATCTCAATTATAATTTTACAGCCATAATTTGTTATTGTCTGCATATATATGTGGTCAGTCATTGTCCTCTTATAGTTTCCTTTCATATTCATGTTCAAGTTGTAATGTACTTATAATCTTTTGAGTGGCTAACCATATTTATGATACTAATGATTCTATTACCCCAAGTCCTCACTTAACTTTGTCAATAGGTTTTGGAAACTGGGATTTTAAGAAATGACATATAAGGAAACCGATTTTGCCATGGGCTACTTGATATAACCAAAGTTTAGTTCCTATGGCATATTTCTGGTCACAAAAACATCTCCAAACTTCTAAATAAGATCCTAAAAACTAATATTAAACTTTGAAAAAAATGTGAGCTATAATACATTTAAGAAAGAATAATAAAAACAAGTAAGATACAAAATTATTTTCCAAATTGCTTATTCTAGTTCAGGGTTGAGGGTGACAAGAGTCTATTCTGGCAGGTTAGTCATACCCACACTCATTCACACTGGGACAATTTAGATATGTCAATTCACACAACGTGTACATCTTTGGGATATGGGAGGAAACCAGAGAACCTGGAGAATACCCACTTGGACATGGACATGTCTGGAACTGATTTCCCACCCCCCAGCCCCCTCATCAATGTTATAATGAAAAAATGTTACACAAAACCACATTGTTGCAGGACCTGTTGTATAGTGAATTAAAAGTACTGTGTTAGGTACATTCGATTCTATTTCCCCCCTATATTCTTTTCAAAGCTAACTTTCTCCCCTAATTTTCATATGGGCTCTCATAAATTAACTGATTTCTATACTGAAAGTAAATCTCTGAATCATTGAATATTACTGAAGAATCCTTTAAAATTAACTAATATAAGTTGACTTATGACTTTTATAATATTCAGTGAGAAGATGATATTTAAAGTTCAGACATTAGTATTTCTGGTTTTTTAAAAGTGAAAGTGAAAGAAGTATATGTTCCAAGGATTTCCATTAGATTGTTTCTTTATACAAAGTACATTGTACATGATTAAAAGAGCCTGCATGTGTATGTCCCTTCAAAAATCCAAATTAACATTTCCCCCAAATTTTTTTTTCTGTAAAATTAATCATTATGTTTTGTGTCTTAAAACTTCTCAGATTATCTACCATTTCTTCAAATTATTGATGCTCATATCATAACTGATGCCTGAATGAAGTGATAGTTTTCACATAGGAGCAATAAATTCATGAATCCTGGTTCACTTACATTTTAATTTCAAAAAATTAATCATTGGATGTGAAACTTTAATGAATGAAGGCTGTTTTTCCCAAAATGTTAGACTGTCAAAAAGTTCTGAAGTTCATTGCAGCGAGCCAGATTCAGCAACCATTTCCATGTGATAATGTTTGAACTACAGCTAAGCAGCTTTAATTAGACTAATAAGATAGCCTTCATAAAAACGCCTCCATGAAAGTGCATCCAATAAACTTGCTATTCTTTTCCCTCTGGAACTGAACATCTAACTTACACATTAAAAGCTTTGTAGCTAACTAGCCCTAACCGGTTAGGCTCAGTGGATAGACTAGCATCAGCCTGCGGACTGAAAGGTCCCAGGTTTGATTCCGGTCAAGGACATGTACCTTGGTTGTGGGCACATCCCCAGTAGGAGGTGTGCAGGAGGCAGCTGATCGATGTTTCTAACTCTCTATCCCTCTCCCTTCCTCTCTGTAAAAAATCAATAAAATTTATAAAAGCTTTGTAGTTAACTAATATTATATCACAAGATGCAATTTTCTAGAATAGTAGAAAATATAGTTAACACATAATTTGTTAAAATGTGTCTAAACGTATATTCCGTACAAAAAGTATTAATTAGCTCACATTGGGTACATATATTATTTGGGCATTGAAATGATTGATTGATATTCTTAAATTGCAAATCAATAAGCCACTGTTATGCTTTAATTTTGCATTAACTCTCTTGTGTTACTTTTGGAAAGCTGTATCTCATGGTTCATGATGCCTTAAGGTATTTTGTGATGTGTCACTCCGATTCATTTACATGTTTGAGTATTGCAACAGTGGTTCTGAATTATAGCTTCACATTAGAGTCATGTAAAACATATTGGCCAGGTCCCGAAACCCAGTATTTTGATTAAATTAATTTGAAGTGATTTTTGTGAAAAGTTTCTCAGGTTATTCCAAAGTGAAGCCACCTTTGAGAACCACTAAATGGGAAGATTTGGGAATAATGAAAATGTTTTGCTTGTAATATACTAGAACAGATTTCCAAGAGAGAAAATAGTCTGAATGGACTATATTTAGCTAGCTCCAGGAATGACATTTGTTATGCCATGACTGGATCAGCTAATGCTTTGAAGTTCTTCCTAGTTCTCTGACTCTAAGATATTATAGTGTTCTTTCCATGTTAATAATTACTTCATATTTTTTCTTGATAGAGCACAGAGTGACTCATCAGTTTTGAAAATGCGCTTGTGAATAATATAATAGAAGCAAGCTATGGGGAGATATATCCATTCTTTCAAAGATTCATTATCTGTACCAACAAAATATAATCCATGACATTGCAATAGAACCCTTTGAAAAGTAAAACGACACCAACAACAATGTGAATACAATCAATATTGAGTCCAGGTGTACTAATGACAAAAAGAGATAAAGAAATGATCAAAATTGAGAGGTAGTAATCAGTGATGTCTTCTTGGAAGCACTGCTTTATGACAAATTCAGAAGGAAGTGTTGCATTTCAAGTCAACAATGAAATTCCAGTCAACAAAGGGACTCTATGTAAATGCCACAGCGAATAAAATGTGAATAGCTATGGTCCTCACTGTAGAGGCCTTGATAGCTAATTCAGGATGAGGTCTATCAAAAGGCTAATACGAGGGTAGAATATACTAGGAGAGCACAGCAGAGGATGGGTTTATGTCACGTTACAACATTGTGTGCAACTTCATGGGCAAAAGGAATTTGAACTAAGTCTTGAAGTGTTGGAGGAGAGTGATTGGGAAGATGAATAAATGCCTTCCAACCTAACTATTAACATAAATAACAATATGGAGGCACAACATTTACTGGGATGTGCAGGGAAATAATGCAGGGGATGAATGAAAGAAGCATGTCAGAGAGAAAAGAACACTCAATTGTGTTTGGAGAAACAATAGCTCAATTCACCAGACTAGACTGAGAGAAGGACTCAAGTCAGAGAGCCAGAAGAAAAGAGGCTTGCCAAGGTTGAGGGTAAGGGGAGCTCTGAAAGGTGGTTTGAGCAGTTTGACAACCATACATCCCAAGTAGCAATATTCCCAAGGGATTCCAAGCATAACTGAAATAATAATAATAATGCCTGGTCTCAACTAGTCTCTGGGTTGTGTTAGCAGTCTGAAATGAAGCCAGACTGGATATGTTCATCTTTAGAAGAAGGCAAGTCACAATCCTCAGGATTTTATTTTAAGGAACAAATTTACAGAAAATTCTTTCATTCCAGGACTGGGATGCTGTCATTCAGTACTTTCTTTCTCAGCTCTTTCGAGGGAGAAACAACCAATTTCCTTATTCTTAATTTGTATAACTAATCTGTTACCAAGCTACTAAATGTAATATTTTGATCAAATGCTTCCCTGAAGCATGTATTTCAGTTTTATTTATTATATCTTTTATTTCAAGATCTTTTTTATCCTTTTTTCTATCCTGAATTCCTAAAAAATACACTGGAGACAGAAAAAAAAAAAACCCCAAAAAACCCCCACAAACCCCACATTGTATAAAAGGCAATTAGCACGCCCTCTCCTTTTTATAACTTTATAATTGAAATCTCATTAAAAGCTTTCTAGGTCTCAGCTCCCTTAGTGACCAGGTGTCCCTAATTTGTTTTTAAACTAATGTGACTAATTCCAGGCAATGACTAGAAAAAGTCTGATACCTGTTGGAGAATAGCAATAGCAAGGTTATAGAAGTGGGGTGGCTTTTTAGGTTGCCTTTAACCTTGTTTTTTTCTTTTCTTCTTCTTCTTTTTTTTTTTTTTTAAAGGCTTCAACGTCTTTTCTCTCCGAGTCCTGCCCTTTTTTCAGTCCCGGCTGAAGATTCCAAGGGAAATGAGAGCACTATTTTGTTTCTGCCTTGTATTGCAGATAGGGGGAGGAGGTGGTTATTAGAGAGAAGCTCTTCCTCTCTCGGTTTCCCCCTCTCTCCGCCTGACAGCACCGCTCTCTCGCAGGCTCGCTGGTTCTCTAGGTGATCCATTTCCAGGCAACGTGGGGCTGCTGCCGAAGCTGCCCAGCTCGCTCTTCCCTCGCTCTCCGCATCCCGCCAGGCGAACCGCTCCGAAAGCATCCTGCAGCCGCGGCGGCTTCCCTCCGCCCGCCCGCCCGCCCGCCCTGCCCGGCTGCGCGCGCCCAGCGCAACTCCCCCGCCAACCGCGCCCGAGCGATCCTGCCTCCCGGGCCCGCCTCGCCGAGCTCCGCTCCCCGCCTCGCGCTGGAAACGGATTTTCTCTGCATTACTATCTGCATTACCTTGAAGTTCACTTTTTCTACCCCTCTTGGAGAGGCTCCCCCCCGCAACCCCCGAACCCCCCATCCCTGCTTGGAACCTGGCAGCTCCGCTCGGAATCTCCTAATCTCTCCTTCCCATTTAGATTTTATTTTGGCAACGAAGACAAGTGATTCTCTGCGGGGCCGTTCGGGCCGGAGGGGGGCTGTGCTTTTTGGTCGGGGAGGGGGAGGGGGAGGGGGACATCCGGCGTGAGGGGGGTGGGTCTGTTGGAAGTTGCTGCGGAGCCGGGACGCCAGACCCGGGCCCGGGCGCAGCGATGGGCAAGGTCTGAGCTCCAGCCTCTCCCCCTGCCCCAGTGCAGCCGGGGCTGGATACATTTTTTTTTTTTTTTTAAAGCCAAACTGCAAACAACTCTGGCGATGCCAACATTCCCTTCCAAGTGACACGGCTCTGCGAAGGAGGATTCCTCAGGCTGAGCTCTTCCTCTTATTCGCCCTGCCATCCTCGGCGAGTCAAGGCTTCGCTCTGGCAGGAGGAATTTCGGGGGGAAGAGAAAAAGCTGTGCTCAACTCCATCGTGACCTCAAACTCTCTGGACTGTGCGTGTTGAAATCATCTGGAAAGAAGAGCCGCCGTCCAAGAAAGCCAGCAGCGGAGGAGATGGAAGTTTTCCCCTTGGTCTTGGTGTTGTCCGTGTGGTGGTCTCGAACCTGGGACGCCGGGAATGCGGATTCGATCATCCACATCGGTAAGCGAGGGCAGGTGCTGCCCGCGGCTACTTTTGACCGCGTCGGGTCGCCCGTGTTTCCCCCGGGCGGCCCCCTCTGCGCCCTGCGTGGGGCTGCTCGGCGGCGCCTGCGGTTCGCCGCCGCGTCCACGCACCCTGCCCTCCACTTGCTCAGTCCCCGGCCGGGTGTGCGTGATGCGCGCCCGCGGCGGGTGCTGGTGGCTGGCGGTGCATCGCGGAGTGCGGGCTGCACGCGCGGGGGTCTCGAGTTCGCCCCGGGGTGCGTGTGTGCCGGGGCGTGCGGGGTTTTCAGCGCACAGGGAAGGGAAGTTGAATGGGCTGACTCAGTTTCCCATATTCTCCCCCGGAGACACACTGGCTCTATTTTTTTAAAGATGATCTTGGAGGGCACCGAAGAGGTAGCATCTGTGAGGCGAAGCGAACTGGGGTGGGAGGCGGGGGGCGCTCCCTTCGGCTCGAACAGGTGGTTTTGCAACGTGAGCCGCTGCCTTCGCCGCAGCGCCTCGCGCCGGGGACGGGCTGCTGGAGGCGCCCGCAGCCTCCCGGTCCCCTCCGCGTCCTCCTGGCTTTGCGGTGCTCGCGCAGAGGGGCCGCCACCGCGGCGGGAGGGGCCGGGGGCGGTGGAGCGGGGACCCGGAGCCACGCGCCTCGCTGGCGATCTCCGGGCCTGGCGCGCGGTGAGACCGGCCCCGCGGCGCTCGGGGAGCAGAGGCGCGCCGGGCACCTCCGTGGGCCGCCTCGCCGACACCTGCCTCGCCTCGCCGGCTGCTCTCAGTTACCGCGCAAGGCCTAGAGCGGGGGCGCTCGGGCGACGCGGGGCGGCGGGACTCCGGGAGAAGGACCCGAGCCGCGGGGGAGATGCTCGCGGCCCCACCTATTGGCGACCGGACTGGCCCGGGCGGACCGGGGCGGGCGGGGGCTCCGCGTCATTATCATGCACGGCGCTCGCGGCGCCAGGCTCCAACTCTTCTCACTTGCTAATCCGCGAGAGCTGAGCGGAGACGAGCCCGTGCAGCCTTTTCGGCGTTAATGCAATTTCCTTTTCGGAAATTCGCATCTGCGGGTCAGCGAGATTCCCTGATCGGGCTGAAGAGAGGCCCCTCTTGGGGCATATTTCTGGGCACAGGACTTTTATCTGTCCACACGGCGTGATGTTCTGCAAATTGAGGAGACAGATGGGTCGCAGCATCTCCCCTTTCAGTCCCCCTGCCCCTCCCCCGCGCAACACACACACTCTCGCGCTCCTCCCTCCACCTCCTTCTCTCTCTCCCTCTCTCCCTCCTTTTCTCTCCCGCTCCCTCCCTCTCTCTCGCTCCTGTAAGCCTAACCTGCTGCAGGTGGCGGTTGTGCCTGCCCACGCCAGGGTCTTCCATCATGTGCGTGCCCAACAGGCCAGCCCCTCAGCTCCGGGGGGCTCCCTCTCTCTGGGTCTCAGACATTGTCTTTGTAAACATGTCTGCCATTCTCTATTATTTATATCAATAGAACCATATGTCTCTGTGCAAGGAGTAATGAGGTCAGAATTCAGAAAACCTTGCACTTAGGCATTAAGTAAATGAAACACTAGATAGCTTGCCTGTTAGATCACCTTTTGCTTGGGGGCTAACAGAGCCTGTGGGTTCTGAACTTTTCAGGGAGAAATTATGGTCTTCTGGAGGGGTTCAGTAATGTTCTGATGGAGTTCAGAAATGAACTGGGCTCCTCTTAAATAAATGACTTACATTTATGTCCAGTGTAAATGACTGCAACAAGAATGTAGATATATGTTGTACTTTTGCATTCAATTTTATGATTAGGGGTTTCTGCCTTATGCTCTTTATCGCTCAGGAGGGAAGGCTTGGGGATACATGCTTATTTTATTGCTTACGCCGTGGTCTACACAATAAATACACTATTTGCAAACACCTACAGCTCTTGCTATCCTTTACCAGATGAATACTATTTTGAAATGCAGTCTGGGCTATTTGTTTCAAAATAGAACACAACTGTTGTATTTTTTTTCTTCCTTTCCATTCTGTTGTCTGTCAGTGTGACATGGCTTACTTATTTATAACTAGACCAAAAAAGTAACTGTGTACAAATTACAGATTTCTTTAGAAAGCTGGTTGTTTGCATGAACTGTGCAGGTCCTACTAAAAGAAATCGTTACTTCTTAGACAATTAATTTGACTTGAATGCAATTAGTACATTAGACAAGAGGATTAGCTTCTTTTATAGACTACCTAATAATGCCACGAAGCTAGCAAATTGATGATTGTTTCAAATGCTCCATATCTTTTATGATATAGTGAAAATGTTACCTCCTAAATTTAAAAAAAATGACAGAAGTAAGACTAATTTGTGTACACTTCAGAGGTTAAAATTGTCTCCCCCTTCCCCCCCTGCCTCAGGCTGACGATAATAAATTCAAAACTAAATGCCCATATATTAAAATTTTAAAGCACCTGTTACTATTCATTGGATCAGTTTACTTGCTTGGTTGGCTAGGAAAAGAGAATTATGTTTAAGAGGTGACTGCTTTCATATGATATTCAATCTGAGAAATATGCTTTGATATTTAATCTGAGAAATATGCATATGGTAAATATATTATTTCAGGACTAAAGGGATGAAAGCGATGAAACAGGAGGGAAAGAATGTTTCAACTTGAGAGATATAAGGAGATGTGCAGAAATGAAAGGTTTCCACAGCCTCATGTGATGTGTTTAAGCAGAAAGTAGCTGTAATGTGTAGTTCAGACAAGATGGCAAGATAAAAGACACTGCTGCAATAGGTTCCTTTTGTTTGCCAATATTGTCACCATCCTGTATGTACTTATTGAACACCTTTTACACATACTTCAGTGTGGGGCATATAGATTTAGTGTAAGACATCACCTTGGTCTCAGCGAGTTTATACTTTTAGTTTTCTTTTTAATTCAATTGAATGTATTGGTTAATAAAATTCTATAGGTTTCAGGTGTACAATTCTATAATACATCATCTGTATATTGTATTGTGTGTTCATCATCCTAAGTTAAGTCTCCTTCCATCACCATTTAGCCCTTTTTTACTCTATCTCCCCTCACCCCCCTTTTTTTCTGGTAACTACTGTTGTCTGTGTTTTTAACTTTTTTTTTTTTTTTTGCTTAATCCCTTTACCTTTTTCACCCATCCCTCAAACCCCTTCCTCTCTGACTCTGTACCTATGAGTCTGTTTCTTTTTTGTTTGTTAATGTTGTTCATTAGATTCCACATATAAGTGAGATCATATGCTACTTGTCTTTTTCAAGACTAATTTGTGTGCACTTCAGAGGTTAATATATTCCACTTAGCATAATACTCTCCAGATCCATCCATGCTGTTGCAAAAGGTAAGATTTCCTTCTTTTTGATGGCCTAGTAGTATTCCATTATAAAAGGTTCTTTAAATATTGAATCCTTTTGGTATTGAACCAAAATATATGTATGAAAACTCTCTCCATTCTTCTTTCTTTCTCTTTGTTTTCTACTATTCATGCAGGTAGATTAATATAGTCAGTTACATATTTTAAACTCTAACATGTTGTATTAAACACATTAATTCACTACAATGATGAGGTATATTCTAACGGTTAAGTTAATGATTGAAATGGAAATGTATTTATTGCCGTCAAAATGCATAATATAATTACTTTGTGTTTCTGTTAAAACATTTTTTAAAAATTGATAATTATATACTGTTTAACATCTGAATATTCTAGATACACAGACACAGTATGTAGAAATGAATCACCTCCATTGTGATCTTCTTCATCCCCCTCCCCAAAGAAAGGTCTTTTGACACATTAAAAACTATGCGATTTTGAAATTATGCTTCTACTTTAAGGCTGTGCATTGACTGAGTAATTTCATCAGACCCACATTACTTGATTGCTTAGAAGTTTCCTAATGATCTGCATGCTGTAGGAAGAACCAGAACGTCGTGAGTGGAATGGCAATGATACTGTGTTTTATGAGGCTATTCAGAAGTCGCTCTGATTTATGTCGCTAGAAAGCTCCAAAGTCTTTGAGATTAGCCACGCCGAGTGCTATTTTCTTCATACATCAGTCGTCCCACACTCTTGACTCCCTTAACACAACAGGAGTTTAGAGCCCTGCTTTAATTAAGCAGGGATTAGGTGGCATTTCCAGCCAACTGCACAGTTTGTGCTTTGCTTCATAATCTAATATGGAGGATCTCATGCTTTAACGGCTTAATGTATGCTCATGTCTTTATCTGGGTCTTGTGCTCGCAGAACTGGTCGAAATGAGCTATCCTCAGTTATATACCTCTGCAAGGAAACACTGACACTGAGTACTTACTCATTTATTACAAAAGTGACTGGCATGCTTCTGTTGTTGGCAGTCATGGTAAAATACCTTATGCCAGCAGGAACTAGGAACCAAGCATTTACTCATGCTTTTCTCATAAGCCATTGATGCTTTATCCTCCAAGACCATAATCATCAACGATGACATTTGAGAAGCCTTACACAGTTCAGAGTATTTTCATCATGGGAGAGTGCAAATTAAAGTACAAAATTGGTGGTTGAGTAAAATGTGTCAATGCATTATAAAACACAAATAGAGGGTAGATTTAACCCATCAGCTTTTATTCTGTTGCTATTGAGGACTGTTCTATCAAATACAGAATGTAAAAGCATTTCCACTGTGATTTGCATTGTTTAATGATAGCCCCCAGATCATCAAGGACTCTTCCCACTGTAAAAGATATCTCAATGATTTAAACTGTCCTCTTATTATTTATAAGAGTTCATTGCTCTTTGAATTATGGGTAATACATAGTATAACCTTAGAATGTATTAAGAAGTAGTTTCTGAATTTAAAATAAGTTTATACTTTACCTTTATTCTGTGTCATTAAAATAGTTATTTGAGCACAGTTTAGATGTGCATTAACTTAGACAATGTTATTATTCAATGCTATCAACTATGACATGACTAATAAGTCAGTACACTAAGGACCTTTGCTTTCTACTCCA